ACAGACTCATTCTCCCAAACTTCTCTGCCAAATGTACCTTCTCGCAGGCTGGGACAGGCTGGGACCATCCTGGGGCAGGAGAGCCTTTAAGTCTCCTGGTCCCATGCTGTTCATCACTGGACTTCTTTGCTGCAGGGCCAGACAAGAAGCGGTGCTTTTATGAAGTTGGCACCTGTTACTTAAGTATTATTAATTTTAGTCCGGAGTTCTAGAGCTCCTGTGGGCTACTTTGTGCTTCATGCTACACACATGAAGGAAGATGGTCTACATCCAGACTGACCCAAGGATGTGCTTCCAAAGCAAAGTCCAGCCCTTTCAAAGATTGTATGGGAAATGCCTAGAAATGTCTGATGGATTATGTCATCTGCACTGAGATATTAAACATATGAGTAGTACAAATGTCAACTGAAAAAAAAATAACCCCACAACTGTGGAGCAGATGTTAAAACACCCATATGCTGTCCACAGTGAAGTCAGGTCCTGCAGCCACCCATGGATGTCCCTAAGAAGAAGCAGCTGTGCCATAAGGGTGTGCATTTATTGCTGTTCTGGAAAAGTCAACATAGGGAACTCCTGACTGAGGCTCAGATAGAGACACGTGTGATGGCTGTTCACCCAGGCTGAGTAGATTCCCTACTTACCCCTCACCCTCACAGAGATGTCATCTTTGAGCCATGGGCCAGACCCTATGCTTGATATGACCTCGTGAGTGCAATTTCAAGGTTAGTCGAAAAACTGTGAGCAACATATGATGAATGAAGGAAGACTGCAGCAGTGTGTGATAATGATGGCTGCCATTTGACACCTGCTGATGATGTTATGGTAGTTTCGCACTGTCCTCCAGAGTCCAGAGCTTCTCTGTCTGCCTTGTCCTGCCCACAGTTGTATCAGTATTTCAGATGGGTTTGCTGGTTTTCTTTTTAGCTGAGGCATCTCTAAAAGGTCAACAGCAACTGGATTTGAAATGCGAGGCTTTGACAGAGGAAGCAAAGAATTCAAGCTGGATCCTCAGGTCATGGAATCACAGGATGGTTTGGGTTGGAAGGGACCCCCCCTGCCATGGGCAGGGACAGCTCCCACTAGCCCAGGTTGCTCAAAGCCTCATCCAGCCTGGCCTTGAACCCCTCCATGGATGGGGCATCCACAGCTTCCCTGGGCAACCTGGGCCACTGCCTCACCACCCTCAAAGTAAAAAATTTCTTCCTAATATCTAATCTAAATCTGCTCTCTGTTTGAACAATATTAAGAATCAGTGTCTTTGAATCAGTCACTTTACTGGGCCAGGCAAGTTTAATTCCCTACTGCTGATGGCACTCTTAGCCATATTTTCTCAGGGAGGGGATGACTGTGAATTGAGATGGTATCAAACTGTTCTTATGGATAGCTGGTATTGTCTCCGAATTGCCAGTTACCAGGCATCCCTAATCACAGGGGCCAGAAGAACACTGCAGTATTGAATTCTGCAGCTCCCTAACACTCAGTTTGATCTCCAGTACCTGTTTGGTTTGATTATCTTCACACTTTTCTGAGCGTCACAAGCAGGTTTTTGTTCAGAAACAACATCTGAGTCATGGCCATTCTTGTACAAAATCTCTTTTTAGATAATCCAGGTCAAGAGTGCACACGTAAAAGTTTATTATTTGTTTTTCTTCCTTCATTGTGCCTTTGTTTAAAAAAGCCTCTCATACAACCAGAGAGCGGAAAAAAATGCTACAAGACTCTGGAGGTTTTGTTGTTGTAGGCAAACCTTGACTAGAAGCTTTCTAGCATGGGTCATTATCACTAGTGATGTATGATACCGATCGAGTCTTCCGGGGCTTGGATACTGAAAGAGTACAACAGTTCTGCTGCCCCAGCATCGTAACACTGTTTAAAGTTTGTCAGACAGGATAGCAACACTGGAGGCATGTGGCATGAAATCTTCCCTTGACTGTTTGTTGTTTTTTTGGTTTTTTGTTTTTTTTTCTGTCTCTCCCCTTACTCACTCACAGCTCCCAAGGGGCTGGGATCCAGAGGAACTTCATTCCAGGCATTCCAGCATCCTTCCTCCATGCCACCTTGAGGATTCAGGATATCTAACCCTAGCATCATGTCTCCAAGTATCAAGACTCACTGAATGCAGCTCTTGTTATACGAAGACTTTACACTGTCCCTGTGTCTCCACTGCAAGAGTCCAAGGGGTGCTGAGTAAGGACCTGTCCCAGCTGAAAGGAGAGCAGGAGAAGGCACATTTGCTGTCATTCACTGTTGTCATATAAAAAACTCATCCACCACTAGTTAAGGCTGATAGCATCTAAGAGGTATAAGGCCATTTACAATCTATTTGGAATTTGGTCACCAGGTTTCAGGAAGGGGTTTTCTGTTATTAGGATTTTGTTTCCCAAGTGTGAGATGTTAAAGAAAGAAGATACAGTCTTTGTGTGCCAAATTGGTAACACGAAGGAGATGAAGCCCTTGGGCCAAAACCTGCAGTTTTATCAGATTTATCCAACGAAATATTAATGGGCTAAGCCTTCCCCCAACCATCTCTTCTCCTTCCTTATGGTGCTAGGCAGATATTATCAGCCACGTTCTTCTGATGGGAGAGTATGCTTTTTTGTTGGTATAATGGCAGTAGTGGGAAAAAAGAGTTTAGTCCTTCACTGTAGCCCCAATGTAGGAATGTCATCCAGCATCACCTTCCCCTAGCATCAGTGCACAGGATGGAATCAACTAAGTGCACAAGCACATTTTATACCATACTGTTAGAAGGTGATGCCTTAGAGTGACAGAAAAAGATCAGAGTTTCACAACTGCAGCTCTCCAAGAAGAAGTAAGATCTCAGGTACACCGACATACATCAGTTGTCTGGCTAAGACCTGTTCCTCTATTTCTCACTTGCATTTCTTGAAATCTTTAAATTCTTGAATTTTGCCACATGTGAAAATCTCCTAGAACAAGTATGTCTTCATCCAGAGCACGCTCAAGTGACTGATCAGATTCCTATTGCCATAGGTAGCTTTATGTCAGGCTATGAGAAGAGAATTACAGAATCATGGAATAGTTAGGGCTGGAAGGGACCTTAAAGATCATCTAGTTTCAACCCCCCTGCCATGGGCAGGGACACCTCCCATTAGCCCAGGTTGCTCAAAGCCCCATCCAGCCTGGCCTTGAACACCTCCAGGGATGGGGCACCCAAAACTTCTTGAAGTGATAGACCTGTCTGTGCATAGTGGCTTTCACCTCTACAATATTTAATTCCCCTCCTGTCAGGAAGCTGAAATCATTATAGATTTAGTTTATAGCTGATACATAGAGAGAAAATTACTCAAAACTCTCATATATTACTGTCTCTATGAAATCTTGCATCTTGCACAAGATCTGCAATGCCATCATCTGACATGAGAGAGTGGCTGAAGCTCTCCCTGAGCACCACTGATACAGGGAAAAGGAATTTCTGGGCCACACTGACGAAAAGGAAAAAGAGGAACAACTTCTTGGTGATATTATGGCACACTCACACAGCTTCGCTGCATGTCTACTAGTGTTCAGGAAAACTGGAGGCTTTTGAAATGATGTGGACTTGTATCTTAACATACTTTACTCTTGATAAAGGTGCCAAAGCCCCATGTTCCTTTCTTGACTTTCCTCTGACAGCTGCTTTATGCAAATTCTGGCCCTGTTCTGTCTCTCTCCCTCGTGACCTCAAGCTGGTTTAGTGTGTAATTCCTGTGACTTTCTCACTCAGAGCTTTGTCACTACTGCATCTTTTTTCCCTTCTGCATTGGCCAGATAGAACATATACATGGTAGTCTGACGAATTTTGTCTCTGAAGACTTCCACTGGAACGGTGCTTCCTTGTACCCTGGGAAAACTGCACTACTAGCTAACACGGTTTTAGGCACACCAGGCTGAGCTTTAGATGTTCCTGATGACCCAAAGGTGTAGAATCATCAGTCTACTCTAGCCAACATTGTAAAGAGCGTGGTGAACCAACCTGTTTGACAGAAGACATTGGGCTATGGAGATCCTGTCTGCACCTGGTGTGACAAAGGTTTTCCAACTCCTGTTTAAGTAAAGTAGCCATATTTTTGATCTGGTGTTTTTAACAATAACAGATAGTGGCATACTTGAGAAGAGCGTGTATCCGATGCCTGAGATACTGCTATTGATCCACACTGATCCTGTTTATACTAGTGGGAACAATGTTTTTATCAATGATTAAAGGATCCTAGACAAAGAATGATGGAATTAAAAAGTGGGAGGTATTATTTAATAACTGAGATTTTATCCAATTAAGTCGAAGACCTAATTGAAGAGATGAGTCATGGTGCATTTGACATGACACATGGAGGGACTCTAAGTGCAGACACGACCTACAGATTCTACTACTCCTCAGAAGCAGCTCCAATCCCACTCTGAACCTCCACAGCTTGGCTCTAGAAAGCTGTCATGAATCTCATGGTCAGCGCAAACCAGAGTGTTGAATTTCTCTCTTGCTACCTGTTTGATATGAGCAACTGTGGAAAGGCTTTTGACTGCAGCGTGGAGAACACTTAGAGTTTTGCTCTCATTTCAGCAGGTGCAGGTTTCAAGTCCTTGAAAAACAAATGGTCATTTGCTCTCCTTGTCACCTCTCACTCAGGTTTGTTCTTGCTGTCATTAGAAATGGCACAAAAACTAGGAAGGCCTTGAAATAGAGTTCCCTTTCTAAGCAAAAAGTTTTTGATGAGCTAACAACATAAGCAAGTGCAAATCTCAGCTGTGCTGGTCCCACGACACCATAAACCTTAGGCATAGCAAGTAGCATTCTTGAATGCATCAAAATCTTGTCTTTTAGCATTTAATGCGAGACATTACAAAATAATGAAGAGGAGAAATGTATGCAGTGTTGCTGTAAACCAAATATACAGATGTAAAATAATTAAGAATAAACTGTTCCATAAAAATGCATGTCAATAAAACACAGTCTGATAAAGTGATTTATGAATAATTTTCTAGAATTACTAAAAAGAATGATTTCTCGTTTGAGGCTCTGGAAGTCTTGAGTCACATTTTTTTTTTGTTTTAAAAAAATGTCTTAAAACACATGGCTTTACAGCTGCTGCTTGGAAAATATACACCTCCAAAGTCTGACTTTCATTTAAATACAAATGTACAAAATGTAAACTGAGACAATAGAGAAATTTACAAAACTTTTCTTTAAAAATAATAAAGACAAAATTCAGTTCTAGTATGATGCTATTTAAATACGTGCAAGTAGTCATGTTCATTGAATTTCTATTGCAATGTTCTAAATAGACAAATTTGATTCACACAGTCTTGAGTGCCACCTCCAAAAACAGACCTGAGTGGAAAATTCTTCTTAAAATGCGAGGCTCCACTGGAAGGAATGGATAGAAAATCTCCATTTTTGGGAGATCCTTTGTTTTTTTCACTCAACGGTGGAGGCTCTCTCATCCATAGAAGCTCCATAGATTTTAGTGGAAGGATGCAACATGTTTTTTCATAAAACTGAGTTGGAACTAGCTGCTTCCAGTGGAGTTTGAACTTACGTGATTTGAATTTATGTGGTGATTTAAACTGGCCTTTGAATTCGGAGAACTCTTTGAATTGTTCTGATGCTGTAGAAAGAGGAAAACAATGACAGTTAGATTACCCAAATATGCCATGCCTTCTTTTAGGCCAACATTGTTCATTTCATGGTGATAATGTACTGACTGGACTGCAAGATTTTTTTTTTTAAGATCTTTGGATGTAAAATATTCTTCACTTTCTTACCTGCATTCTCTCTAGGTCAGCAGGACCATGGCAGTTCTTGAGGAATGCAGCAAAGAAGTCTCACTCAAGCTCCAGGAGTCAAATCAATTCACTGCAAAATGTCAATATCTGCTAAATCTGACTAACACAGAGGATACCTGCTAACGCTCAGGCATGGTTTAACCCTACAGAAATAGATTGATCTAAGAATGTTATTTAGATTTGGAAGTGGTGCCATGGTACCTCATGAAATCTGTATATAATTTATTCTCTGGTCTGCTCTCTTTCCTAGAGTCTTGGTTTCCTGTCATGACTACCTCACTCAACATTTGCATTTTCTTTTTTTCTTAACACATAAATCAAATGTTTCTACAAGGACCTTTTCAAAACCATATAATCATTGAAAAAGGCATTTCAGCATTTCACTGAAAAATAGTTTGGGTAAGCCCTCTCTAAGACATACTGTCTTTGTTCTACAAAAATATCACCGGAACATGGCTGTGACACTGGTCATCTATGGGAGCTTGCTTGTCTTAGTCATAAAAGTCCTCACCTGTCGTTTAAATATTCTCTGTAGCAATCCTTTCTTGGGTGGCTCTGGAGGGTAACTTTTGTTTAGGTCTGGTGAAATAGTACCATTTGGTCCAAATACATTCAGTTCTTTGAAACATTCTGTTTCTATCATCTAGTGGAATACAATAAGAAAGAAAAAAATGAAATTATACATCTGCATTAAATATATTCCAGTAGAGCTAGGTTGTTCAAAGTCAGGGTCAGGACCAGCAGCTTGAGCAATAGGTTAGGAGAGTTAACAGTTGAATTCCTGCTGGTGGCCATAGAAGGCAAATAGGATGCATGGAAAAGAGGCTGCATCTGCTCTGCACGTTCGCACTTCAATCTTATTAGAAGTTGCCCCATAAAGCTTTCTGTTCTTTTCTTTAGCACTGTTGAGAACATTGGGTAAAGACAGCTGTACTCACAAAACCCCTCTGCCCAAGTGGATCTGCTGTTTGATCCAGTGTTGGATTATGAAATCTACCGTTGGCTGTGTTTTGATATCAAACAGAAACAAGGACCCAGATCTGGAAACCCTGGAGCAGTTCAAGGTCCAGGGTCAACTGCTGTAGCTGTGGCCCACTGCAGGTATGTGACAATGGGTGAGATCAGGATCACCAACAGAGGAGCGTTCCTCAGAGCTGTTCTCAAAACACCTCTGTAGAAATCCAGAAGGAAGCGCCGTAGGGTCCTTGCCAATTTACACAAATATGCAGAGCCAACAGATACAGTCACCTGAACCTGACATCTGTGGTACATTATAGCTATTGAAAGAGGCCATTTGTAACTTATGAAAGCATTACAGCCTGGCAAGTTATCCAGTAGCTATATATTAGTGGAAATACACAGCTCCTCTTAAACCATCTGTGTTAGGGGTTTTATTGGAGGAATTTTACTATGATACATCCTTACCTCATTTTGCCATGGAATAGACACTGATCCTGTGGAAAACTTGGAATAGAAATCATCATCTGTTTGGTCCAGGTTAACTCCTTTCACTGTGGAGAACTGCTCGATGTCTAACACATCCTTGCAGTATACTGCTCTGGGCTGTCTCAGCAGAAAAAAAAACAACAGAAAAACACCAAGAGAAAAAAATATTTCTGAGTCTGACCATGTGCTTTCATTCACAGATTTAGTCAAGTGAGAATGCCTAACAACAAGTGACTATCTGCATCCTGCTTCTCTAGACTTGCTCTGCCCACATGTTTATCATCAAAGGCTGACTTTGCTTTAAGCATATTAAGCTTCCCACTTTGAAGTCCTCAAAGCACCAGTGCAGCCAAAGTGGGTTTTAGTCATCCATGTACCACATGGTTAAGAGGTGAGGGGAAAAGGACAGAAAGAGAAAGAAAACAAAAATCAAACCCTTCAGTAGTTTTTTTCTTTCAGAGAGGGAACATCAGAAAACAAGACTGTTTATGAGTGACAGGCTGGAGGCAGCTCTGAAAAGGGACCTCAAATAGAAGTGTCCTTCTGCTCAGAAAGCTGTGGAGTTTGCAGCTTACGAGTTTAAAGGAATGTACTAATTGCTAAAGAAAACAGAAGAGGTTTGGCATTTTTCCATTGTTTTTATTAATAGCTCAGCTGCTGGCGGCTGCCCAGAATCACCTCTATTAACTCTTTTAACTTGGCTGCCTTTCTTCAAACAAAGAGTCAAATCACTTTGCCTTTTTAAATGACTTAATTTTCTGGGATGACAGAGACAGGACTCTTTGCAGTGACGCTGCTTTTAGCTTGTTATCCCAGCAGTCAGCCACAGAAAGCAGAAGTAGTCATCACTGGCTACCTGTCATAGTGTGGTCATCTGCGTGCCTAGAGAGCTCCCAGCAACAACACAGTTATCCTTTGATGTGCAGGAATAATTGAGGGGTGTCCTGTGGGACCAGCCTGAGCTGCTGAACTCAAGCACGTGTTGAATCCGACTGTCTACCGTGACTGCACAGCCCAGGGGTCCAACCATGCAGCATTTTATCTAGATTTGAGCAGTGTGACCAAATAAATCAAGTTGATTTCTGACAGAAGTCCTATTTTCTGGAGGCTGCATCCCTCTGCATTCCTGACGGCTGCAATCCACAACATTTTTGTGGAGACAGAGTAGTCTAGAGGAGGATGGAGAGACATGAGTTGGCTTACAAACTCTGTCATTAGCTATATAACTTTGGGTGATTCAGCTGACTTCTGTGAAGGCTTGGAAATCTATGGATGAAATGTCAAATAAATTAAATTAGGGGCAGCTCCTGAGTTCCCAATAAACAGCCATAAAAATTTATGTGCCTCCGCTTTAGCAAACATGCCTCTAAGAGGTGCCTTCTAGGCCTTACATGCCACTGTTAAGCTTTTAATACACTCTGGTGGATCCCAAATTTGAGCCCAGAATTTTCTAATTTTCTTCATCAGAAAGAAATAGTAGCTTGTCTCCTGTTTCTTCCCACTAAAGCACGTTGTAACACCATGGGCTAATTGGCAGGAATAACTAGGCCGCACAGTAAAACGTAAAGCAAAACCAGAGCAGCTAAAGTAAACTTTTGTAGTGTTCAGACCACTTTGGTTTGGTTGAGTTTGCAGCAATGTGAATGAGAGCTGCCAAGATGTTACTTTCCTTAATATGTTAAAATGGCAGTGTTTACTTAGAACCATATGGGAACTTTAAGGATAGAGGGTTTAGCCAGAAAGAGAGCCCTGCAGGAAGAAAATAATCAGATAACTCTGTGCGCTGGGGTAGAGACCAACACTACAAAAGGGTGGAAAAAGTTGTTATTGCCAATGCAACAAAGACTTTCAGTATGCATGAGGCTGGTACGTAAACCTGAGCAAGGACTCAAGTGTTGGGTTCCTTGCCCCATGAACACTAACGAGTTCGAAATGCTATCTCAGATCGAAGACAGCCCCTCTGCTTGAGGTGACACTTGATATCTGAGCCTGGTCCAGGCTCTCTGTAACAAATGCCTGTTTTCAGGATGATCCAGTCCATTCCTCAGTTCCGTAGAGCTTTGGACTTTGTAACTCTGGTTTCCCCTCACCACACATACCTATATACCTGCATGCATACCTGTGCTTTCATTGCTGATTGTTCCGAGCACCACCCGGTCCTGAGCGTACTTATCCTCACTCAACTACTGTGGATGAGGGAGCACAAAGGTTCCCAGTTCAAAGTTTGGGAACTGAGGCACGAGCAGAACAAGTGGTGCCACCAGTGTCACACAAGAGGACTGCGGTAGAGTAAGTGGGGGTGACTCAAGCCCCAGGTTACCCGCCTGCACGGAGGCCCACCCAGCCTGCACGCACACATCTACGGAACAGCTCTCCTCTTCCTCCCGGCCTCCCCGCTCCAGCCCCGTCACCTCCTCCCGGGGCAGCGACCCACACACTGCGTGACAACAGCTCTGAGAGAGGGAGAGGAGTGATTTCAGAAACAAATCTCTTGACAGAACCCACCTGGGGTTCTTCCTGTCGTACTTACATCAGGGACAAAGGGAGGATCCAGCATTCCCGCTTCTAACCGCTTGAAATTCATGCTCTTGAAAAAGGGGTGCCTCTTCACCTCCGCCGCGCCTTCCCCCTG